GTCCTTCACAGGGACGGCCGTTGACGATCAGCGTCTTACGAAGCAATTCCTGGTGCTGAGAAGTATCCACTGAGAATTCGTAATCACAGAAATAGTTGGCGTCAACCTCCTCCACCTGTTCGGATGTCATGCGCGCATTATCAGAATTGGGAGACAGGCATACTGTTGTAAAGTGGCCCACTTTTGAGCAGTTGCCACAATTAGAATCCACTGCAGGGCAATGATGCTTGCCTCGTGCATGCGAGCGGCCACAGTACTTGCACTTCCCAAGCTTCTTGTGCGCAGAGGCAGGCTGGCAGTGTGAAACAGGGTGAACTTGAGAGAATGAATTCGACAATGGAGTGGCTGCAGCATCACCATAAAGCTTGCTGTCTGTGATAGAGGACTCGAGTGCCACGGCTTTGCTAACAGCATTGGCTAGTGTCCACTTTGACTCTTTGAGAAGTTCTTTACGTAGCTCCTGAGATCACAGGCCCTCATTCAATTGATCACGGATTTGTCCCTGATCGATGGTGTCCACGGCAGTAGACGCAAATTTACAGTGATCAGCTGCTTCGAGCAGGCATTCCACAAACGATGTGACAGACTCGCCCTCATTCTGGCGAAGCTGACGGAACCGGTGGCGCTCCGACGTTGTGTTTGTGGCAGGACGAAAATGAGCAATTACAGCATCCGTCAGAGCTTTGTACTCACATCCGGCACTGCCATCGGCCTGAGCTGGTGGAGTAGGCACTACAATTCCTTTAACAATACGCCTGACAGCGAGGCCTGCAAGGTTCAGAAACAGCCTCTTCTTATCAGCTGCCGTCGTAACTCCACAAATTTCCAGGTAATCATCAATGTCCTCGCGCCACAATTCGAAATCGGCTCCGATGTTGCTGGAAAAGTCATACAAATTCCTTCGGCGCTCTGCCTTTGGAAGCAGACATGGCGACAAATCTGTGCCTGTTCACTGCGCCAATGTAAGCATGCAAGAATCCAGACTAAGCACACGGAAAGAATAGGCAGCAAGCCATTGTGTCTCTCAGATTCTTCATCTGCAAAACCAGCCCAACAGCAGTATATGGCCAAGAGCATTACACAATGCACTGTTACCATGACTGTGCACATCAGCACTACAGCCGTGATGTACAATGCATGACTACCACAATGTTGGTTTGATGGAGTTTTGTTCGTAGCTTGTTCGTGTACGCTGTGGCGTGGCTCATCTGTAGACCCATAAATTATGTGATTTTTGAGGGTATGACAATTTCAAGGTTCCCTTCAGAAGCTCTTCAAGGGCTTTGCACAGTCGATCTACACCCCAAAGGAAACCTACCTGCGAAATTTGAGCGAAATCGGAGAGATCGACAATTGTTCTGGTTTTCTCAGGCATGCTCTCTTAAAATAACTGCATAATTAAGGCTGCGTTTACACGATAACGATTGACAATGATTTGCATTTACACGACAACAAAGTATGGCTGAACCGGAACGAAGTCGTTGCATTTGCTACTATCGTTTACACGACAACGCCCGAAAACGATACCAAAATGGGACAAAATTGAAACGCACTTGTTTTGAAACGTTTTCAAACTGTTTTCGTTCTCATGTAAACGGTGAACACAGTGAAAATGGTCGGAAACAGGAACGCTGTCATGAAAACCATTCCGTGCGGGACTGTATTTCGCGGGAAATATCCAACCCTTGCGCCCGCCAGCACGTGCCAACTCCAACTAATGTGTTGCTTCCCGCCCTTGCGCCAAGCCAGCACGTGCTAACTCCAGCCCAATCGCTCGTTTTTCGTTTTTGGTTTGAAAACGATTCGAGGCCCGCACATTTACGTACCATTTCGTTTCGTCTCCGTGTAAACGCAGTCTAAAAGTGTGAACAAGGGATGTGTAAAGTATTACATAATAGTAGGCACTTCAGTCACGTGACTTGACCTGTCAAAAAGTGCTAACGCTAAATCGCGTAAATGCGTGGCACCACGGAAAGGCGCGTCCATAGATCGATCTGTAGCTGCACAGAAGCTGTGCAGAGCCTTCTCGTGTGGCTCAGCATGTAGCTGAGGCCCTCAGCTTTCGTTTGAGTCCACATAATATTATGTCATGATGTGGCAAAATCGGCAAGGATTTTTCGGGCATTTCCCTTGATTGCACGCATTTGCCATGTAGCTCATCGTGTTGAGTGTCGAATTTCCTTTTGGAATCAGTTTTCCTCGTTCGTCCGACACTTTGCGCATAGCTGCGCAAGAAGAAATAATGCGAGGTGCTATTGAAATAGGGATATCTAGTTTTCACCTTACATTTTTATTAGCTTATTACACTTATTTTTAATTGCATGGAGTTTCAGTCGTCTTATTGTGTTACTTCAGTGCGAAACCTTTTTTTGTCTCGCACGTGTTTGCGCTTATTGTACTCTATTCCACTTGAGCATTTGGGTTGTAAGCTCCTTCCTCTCCATAGGAGCGGGATGATGTAACAGTTGTCCCCCTGTTCGCAATAACTTTACACTCCCTTGCACCTCTTGCATCTTACGCCTGTCTATTTGCACCTTCATTGGCGCCATTGCCACATGTATACTATCACCTTTTGCATATAACTGGTTGAGGCACGCTCAACCAGGTCTCTTACTTTTCAAATTCTATTAAACCTGTTACAGAGTGTGCAAGAAGGGTGAGCTTCACTTTGCGACGAGAGAACATTGTCGGCCATTTGAGCCGATGGAGTAGTGTTCAATGATTCAGAGGAGTGTAGAGGGGGAGACGGAGGCAAAATCTGGCCGCCTTGCGCTGGATTCGCTCAAGACGGTCAAGGGCTGTGATTGAAAGCGGGGTGACAGCAATGCATGCATATTCAATTATAGGCAGGATATATGTTTTGTAAATGAGGAAGAGCGATTTAGTGTGTAGAGTTGATTTGAGCCTAAAGAGAATATTAAAAGATTTTACAGCTTTCTTCAGCACAAAGTCATGGTGGGCTGACCACCTTAGGTCGTGCTGAAAGATGATGCCGAGGTGGCGATGTTGCAGGACATTTCTGAGATGTGCATTGTTGAGCTCTATGCATGGGAGATGGCGAGGGGGGGGGGGGGGGGCGATTTCTGTTGTAGAAGGTGAGGACTACCGTTTTTGCAGTGTTGATTAGGAGGTGCCAGGGCTCCAACCATCCAGCGGCGGCTGACACGCTGCTCTGCAGTAGCAGTTCGCAGTGTGCGGCAGAGCCGCCGGAGCAGACGAGGGCTGTGTTGTCAGCAAACTGGCTGCACCTGGTGCCAGCGTTCTCGCAAGCGCCAGGCAGGTCGATGGTGTACACCAGAAACAGCAGTGGTCCCAGGACTGAGCCCTGAGGCACTCCGGCCGGGATGGGGAGGAAGGCTGATGTTGTGCCCTCAACTCGCACTCGCTGCCTGCGCCCAATCAAGTACGCCGGGAACCATCGCAGTGCTGCTTCCTGGACACCGTAGTGATTGAGTTTGGCCCTCAGGCCCTGATGCCATACTCGGTCAAAGGCTTTGCTCAGGTCAAAAAAGCAAGCTGTTTCATGCTTTCCCGAGTCACGAGCGTCCGAAATTTCATGCACCAGTCGAGCAAGTTGCAGCTCCGTGCCATCTTTCTCCCTGAATCCGGATTGGTTGGAAGGTAAGTGTGGTGAGATGTGTTTGTAGAGGGAAGAGTGAACAATTTTTCTTGTATTTTTGAGGATATGCTGAGCAGAGAGATGGGCCGGTAATTTGCTGGCTGGGAGAGGTCTCCTGACTTGGGGAAGGGGGAGATCATGGCATCTTTCCAGTCTTGGGGAATTTATCTGCTTGCAAAGGACAAGTTCAGGAGGGCAACCAGAATGCGTACGATAAGTATGCAAGCATGCGCACAACAACAAGAACATGTATGATAATCATGCAAGCATGCGCAACCGGCGCAGTCCGTGCGCGGTCCGCACACACGTGCCAAAAGGGGCACACACGTGCCAAATAGGCAGGGACAACAAGAATGTCAATGGCCTGGCTTTCTTCGCCTCTCTCCAGTCAGACGTCTCCTTTGTCGCCAAGGGGAATCGCAGGGACCTCCTCGAAGCCATTGTAGAATGCTTGCTAGGATTATCCTGGCGAGAAAATGCGAAGCGTGTGGATGTGCTTGTACGACTCGTTTCACGGCATAATGGAGGTCGCGGGATTTGAACAATTGAATATAGTCGACACCGATTCGTACACAGCTCTAGAGATGAAGAGGACATAGCCAAAGTCCAGCGTCAGATCATCACTGCAGGTGACAAGAATCTGATCGAAATGCGAGCGCAAGCAGCGACTGTTGGCGATGCGAAGTCGGCGTCGTCAGGTGACAATGACATGAGCGACAAAGACTGAAGAAACTCAATCTCATTCGTCTGAGTTGTTTTTTTCTTTGTATATAGCTTGTAAACAGGTTAGACAATGCCACAAGTGTTATTCCGAGTCAAACGGAACAATTCCAGAGCTGTGCGCAGCATTAAAAAAAGTCACGAAGTTTTTGTATGCGGAGGAAGTATCTTTCTGGACACACAAGTTCGGCTTATGAATGTGCTGACAAATTGCTTCCAAAACTTTTAACTGCAACAGATAACCATGACGAGCACGGCACAAAACAGAAAAAGGAATCAGAATAAGTACGGCAGCAGTCGGTACTAGAGACCAAAATTAATGTACACTGAAGATTTGGTATTACGAAACTTACGCACACAGTCTCGACTCCCGCACACACCCTCACACTCGCTCTCATCGGCACCCAGCTCACCTTCTCCTTCACTACTCGAAGAGTGTTGTACGAAAACTTGTTCGAATCGTCCTTTTTCAATCGCTGTTTTTCTTCTTGCATGTGTTTTTCCTTAACTTTAAGATTGTTTTCGCATCGTCTCCATCGCTTACATTGTTTAATAAAGTAATCCAAATATCACTTCAGCTCGTCCTCCTTATTACCAAAATTGTTGTCTCCTCGTCGAATATTATAATAATATATGAATCCTCTATTTTGTTGCTCCACAGAGATACCGATAGCTCAAGCCATGCCACAAATTATATATAGTGCTGGTAGTCAAACCATCACGGCATGTTTTTTGAAAACTCAACATCCTCATCCCACGGCTACGGAGATCTCTTGGACCAACCCTCAGTTAACAGGTTTAACCACGTCTAAATCCCTTGGAACTGGAAATTCAACATGTCTCACTGCAACGTTAACATTGTCCGGTATGCTTCGTGAGGCATCCGGTGATTACACAGTAACTGCAAGCACAGCTGGTGGAAGTGCCACCACCACCATCACAGTGTCTGTTCTCTGTAAGTGAAACTTAACAGTTTCCATCCTTATGTGTGGAGATTCCAGTGTTTTACATCAATGCTATTGGGATCTACGTGACTGTGGATGTCTACACGAGCACGTGTGTGTATGCATGTATGAGTGTGTATGTATGTGTGAGTGTGAATGTATGTGTGAGTGTGTATATATGTGTGAGTTGGTATGTATGTGTGAGTTGGTATGTATGTGTGTGTGTGTATGCACGTGTGAGTGTGTATGTATGTGTGAGTGTGTACTTCCTCCGTATCATTAAAATTGTCGCTTTGCACATTGCAATGTTTGTGACTTGTCTTGTCTTAGTGAGAATGTCGGAATCGCTGTTTCCGGGGTCCGAACGTCGGTGCGACCCTTCCTGCACAATGTCCACTTGTAACTGAAGCAGTAGTGGCCTCGGAGTTTGTCGTAGCTCTCTTCAGCACCATACAAATTCATCGCGCTCCGCTCTATTCCGCCCCAGAGCGCATATCGCTTTCTGGAGTTCGTGCCGTCCCACATCGTTCGCGTGGGCATTTATCAATACTGCAAGCGCGGGTATAATAATCCTGGTATCTCTCCTGAATACGAAATGCTGAAGTTGACGATGGCAAGAAAAAAAAATTATGTTCTCAAATTCCAAAAAATAATGCGCTACTTGTGGCGCATGTTGCTGCAAAGGTAGCGGGTCTGAAAACACCAACAAAATCAGCAAGGTGCTTGCCAAGGAAAGAAGGTGCGGAACTGCTTACCCTATATGGCCTACAGGGAACACGATAAGATTTTGAAATCGCTCTGACACAATGTCCTGCCACTTCTGGAAACGGTCGGACATGGCCGGACACTGTGATTTGGCAGATTTTGTGATACATGTACATGTCAGGGACTCTTATTTTTCCACCACTTTCATACACGTACATTTACGTTGGTACATACTCTTGATGCTAGTATTAGTATTTCACTGCGGTGCTACAAAAGTACAAGTCACATCACACAGATCTCAAGTAGATGCAACACTGATTCAAATCCCTGTGCATTGTGCAGCAAACACAGTAACTGGGACTGTGTGACTGTGAGTGTGCAGTGTTTCTGCACATAATTATCGGATTTGAGCTTGTTTTTCGGCGACAAAGTAATTTTTATGAAATCAGCAAAAGACAAAGTGGGCACCTGCATGCTCGCCCGTTCTTGATGCCAGCGACACCATGTCACTACGAGTACTCGAGTTGGCTGAAGGATCCCATCTTTGCAACCGTGTTGTGCTCTTTGAACAGCAGGTAGATTCTACGCGAATTTATGACTAACTTTAGCTGCTGTTGCTGCATCGATCTTGCACGGCGCTTTTTCGACAGGAGCGTACTTGACTGGATAGCGAGAAGACTGCTCCTTTCGATAGAGGCATATCGCAAGCTGGTACATTTCTGACGCTTCGTTTCCCCTGGAACACGGACGTTTTCAATTTTTCGGATCGTACAAACGCGTCGCAGAGTAGTTCCTAGCTTCATCGGGAAGCGAGAAAAAAAATCATTTCAAAACTCCTTCTCGATCGTTTGCTACGCTCAAACTGGAGCTACACTGAAGTGGACAGCTCCCTGCCATGCCGTAAAACCCTCTTGTCACAGGTTGCTGCTCTTACTTCTTGAGACTTCTTCCCAGCCACAGCGCCATTGTCCTCTGTCGTTCTCTTTTCCAGCGACACTATTCAATCATTTTGGTCGGACAGATTGTCCGTTCAAGTAAAAAGCGCCGGATTTGAATCGAAAACGGTCGGAAAATGTCAGATGTCCGACCGTTATCGTGTTCCCTGGCCTATAGCGCTGGAAAGTCGTTGCCACCTGGAGGCATGGATCGCTGGAAAACGAATTTTCTTGACATGAATTTGAACGTGCGTCTTGTTCAGCGTCTTGTTGACTGCTGAAGAGTCTGCCTCAAAATCTGATCAAGACGTCGACCTTACCTGCACGTGCAGCGAAGCAGGAGGCCACAAACTAAAGCTTGGTGCGTCGACAATGCTCTGCTTCAATTTCTAGCTGATTTCTTTGCCCTTCGAGTGCACAAAATAAATTCGAAATCGCTCTGAGAAGCGACACTTTTAAGCGCGGAGGAAGTATGTATTTATTTGTGTGTATGCATGTGTGCGTGTGTATGTATGTGAGTGCGAGTGTATGTGAGTATGCATTTACGTGTGAGTGTGCGTGTGTGTGTGTTTGTGTGTGCGCGTGTGTGTGTGCGCATGCGCGTGTGTGTGAGTGTGTGAGAGTGTGTCCCATGTGGTGCAATGGCATGTGCAGTCGATTTCTAATCGAGAGGTTGAGGTTTCAATTCCAGACGATTAGGGACATACACGTCATTCTTCTCTTTCTCGGACTTCTGACTTTCTTTCATAATCCTGGGTGGTTACCAACAGCCAGTGCACGCCGGTTTTTGTGGTCTGATAGGTGGACGGGTAAAGAAGTGAGGGATCAGATAGCCAGAAAAAGCCACTTCAAGAACTGTGTGCTGTAGACCAGGCTGATTAGTGGCGGTCAATTCTTCAGCCTTGCAAGCTCTTGAATGGTGCAACATTGCTAAGTATCAGTTCGACTGCACTGGTACATCTTTGATGTGCAATCATTGATTTACATGCTTGTTCTTTTCTTTTCTGTCTTACTTTCTTTCCTTGTGTTTCTTATTATTCCTTTTTAAAACCAACATTTCACACTCACTTTGCGCACTTTCTCTCGCATCCTTAATAGAGCATGTCTAAGAAAACCAGAACATATGTGCAAGTCGATCTCTCAGATTTTGTTCAAATTTTACAGGTAGGTTTGCTTTGGGGTGTAGATCGACATTCCAAAGCCCGCACAAAATCTTTTGAAGGGAACTATGAAATTGGCATACCCCTCAATATTGGCCCAATATTGGCACGATTTATGGGTCTACAAACGAGCCACGGCACAGCGTACAAGAACAAGCTACGAACAAAACTCCATCAAGCCAACATTACCTCACCTTAGAAGAGTTCTTGGGGCAGCACCACTTAGCCACGCCAGCATACCAGAAGACGAGGGCAATCATCCCTTGACGCCACAAATGATCGTCTCGAAAATAGCCAAATTACAAGCGCTGATAAAACAGCGAGCTACGTCCTCAATTAGCAAACACTATACACCGGCAGATAGTAGAACACCTCTTCTAGCCCTGAGGACATGTCCCCCATCATCCTTTTGGGTTTTCTTGAAATAAACAATTTTGAATTTTTCCACTCGTCCATTCTGAAATACGTCCAAACTGATACCTGCGCAGGAAAGCTCGCCCCTCCGCGACGTCTAGTCAGCAATTTCTACTCCAACAGCACTCCCAATGCTGCAGAACAAAGTGTATTGTTGACTCTGACAAGGAAAAGCAGCGGTGATCACTTGTCACTCCAAACGACAAGCTTCTCCTTGCGCCACCAACATTTTTCGGTGTAACAATTGATGCAAAAGTGACTGAATGTTTGCGTGTAGTTTTTGGATTTTACTGCAAGAGGAATGATGAAATCACGATGGGAGTTGAAAGGTCAAAATGATGTGTGTGTGTGTGTGTGTGTGTGTGTGTGTTTTGTGCTCCTTGGGAGCAGGTTACACTTTCTGAGCTCCGGTTTTTGGCTTTCTTCAAAGTTTTCTGCCTGCCTAGGGCGACTCTGGTGTATCCAGTGTCGACCATGGAGCACCCTCGCACACAGCCAAGGTAGTGCTGCATGATTGGAACGCGGAATCGTGATGTAGCTTGCAGGACAATCTATTTCGATAGTGTCACTGCTGCGTCGGCCGTGGTCCACCACTCGCAGTGGAGTAGCTGTCCCTCGAGTGCTGTAACATCCAAGCTCAAAGAATGAAGTGGTAGGAATTGCAGATGGGTTGGTGGAGTGCTGGAACGACTCGTTGTTTACAGTGGAGTGGACGAGGGAGTGCGGAGGAAGGAAAGTCGCAATGACAGAATGATGGGAACTGAAACTTCTATCTTTCGTCGTCATGAGTGCACTGGTCAAGCGTTGTGGAAGTCTGTCGGATTTGTGAGGCCCTGCCCTGCCGCTTACGTCGTCATCGTGAAAAAACTGCCAGTGGAGTCCTGGTGGGATTTCGGATGCCCACACTCCTTTTGCTTGGTGGATTCTTTCGTGGAAAGTGTTTTTTGGGACTTGAAATTTTGCAGTTTTTTCCTTTCCTGCTCATTTTCGTCCCGTGATTTTCAGTCGATACAAACTGTTCTTGAGCTGTTCTAAGCGTTTTCCTATCCGTCAAAATCCATCACGAAGTTTTTGAACGGATGAAGTACAATCCCCAAAAACTAATGCCTGTGCATATCTGCATGATTAATAGGCAAACCTACTCCTCGCAACGACTATCCTGTGTGATGTACTGGGTTACCATTCTTTTCTTTCTCACTTGCACAGCTCCGCCAATTATCACCTACCCTGAAGACAACTCCATCATACATGTGAAGGAAGGAACTAACTTTAGTATTGACTGTGATGCTAATGGAAATCCGGCGCCAGCATTGGAGATTCTGGATGCGAATGGAACAGAACTTAAAAATCTACCTGTAGGGACGGTGATAAATGATTTGAAAAAAGTAACCCTCCGTCATACATTTCAGAACATTAACCGTAACAAATCGGCTGTATATACCTGCACAGCTGAAAATAACCAAGTGATTTCATCCCTTGATACATCAGTCGAAGTTGACGTACAATGTAAGTTCGTTTTTGAAAAGATAGAGATCTTAACTGTTTTCGTAATGCAGTGTGGCACGAGATGATGATATGATGTTCTGTGTTCTATATCAACACATTGCACTCACTCACGCTTCCCTCCTCCCCCCCCCCCCCCCCCAGCACACCTTGCGACCTTTGGATGCCCATTGCTCCGTGCAATGATGGCATCAGGAGTTGCAGTATTTCCTGTGGCGAGTTGAATCGTTGGGCCAACAGAAGTCCCTGCCACAACCGCAAATGAACACTATAGGCTTTTCCAGAGCTGGTCGGGGATGATTGCACATGAGGCGCCAGTCTCGTCTGCCCTGCGCCAAGTTGCACAAGTCACCTGTCATGCACCGAGCATTCAGATCAGCAGCAGCGATGTCCCACCGTGCCTGGGCTTTGCGTTGAGTCCCTCAGCAAACAGAACGCACTTGGGGAGACGGGAATCCTCCATTCGCCCAAGGTGGCCAAGCCAGCATAAACGGTGAGAGCGTACGACCTCCGACATTAACGACGGCATACCAAAATACTCCCAGCACACACACACACACACACACACACACACACACACACACACACACACACACACACACACACACACACACACACACACACATACACACACACACACACATACACACACGCGCGCACACACACACACATGCACACGTGCACACAGGCATGCTCACACATAGGGACACACACGCACACATGCACACACACGCACACACCATGTACCATGTACCATGTATACGCCCGTCGCAAGAGAAGCACGCAAATCTGCAAATGCACTGGATGTGCACCCACAGATTTTCTCTTCATAGCAACGATAGCGGATCTGATTTTGATTGAAACAGATCAAGACAAGCGCCAGATAACTGTCTAATCCACACAACTGGCGAAGCCATGTGAATCGACCCCCCCCCCCCCCCCCCAATGCACACCTGGTCTACACCACACGGAGTACATCGGAATAGGACGGCCAAGACAGTTACCTATGCACACCCTACACTTGCTGGGGTAACCAGTATAGACAGCACGCTGCTTTGATAACAGCAGACACTAGATGCATTGGTACCTTGAAGTGAAATTGGAGTTATTTTACCAACCAGCCTCGGCAACTGGGTACTGGGAACCCAGGGCCAACAGACGTACCAACAACCTCAGCCATGAAAGCTATATACGCACCGACACACACACACACACACACACACACACACACACACACACACACACACACACACACACACACTTCGACTTCCAAGTGCCCATCAGTGATGCGATGATGGCGAACAAGCTATGTTGGACATACACGTAGAATCTAGTTCGCTGGAATTACAGCATTCAACAGTTTGCAAGGCTGATGAATTAACCGCCACTAATTTTAGCCTGGTTTACACCACACAGCTGATTGAAGTGGCTTTTTCTGGCCAATGGATCCCAATTTTTGATCTTTGATTTTTTCAATCATTCTTTTTGACACGTGACACACACCACACCATATTCTCCGGCATGCACTGGCTGTTGTAGCCACCCAGGAGAATGAGAGCGAAGAAAGATGTGCGCACAGGTCTAATAAGCACTATTCAAGCAGCGGCATAACAACCACAAGCTGTCAATGTGCCATGTAAGATACCTGCACAGCACGGAGCTCTCGGACCACATATGGACATTGAAAACGATGGGAAAGACCACAGCATCAAATGGAAAGTGAGAAAGAGGGCCAGCTCATACAGCCCAGCCTCCAAGGGCTGCATGGCGGAGAAGCTGGAGATCATCACTGCAGACAAAAGCACTCTGCTGAATTCGCGGCGTGAATTTGTCATGAATTGCTCGCACAACACCAAGTAAATAGACATGCTAAGTGGATGGGCGTCACATAGACTCTCTGCTCAGTTCAGCGTGGAAATCACTTTCACAATTTTACAATTGTATTGCCTGCTCCCATACCCACCGGCAGTAGCTCCAAAAAGAGGGCAATCCATTGGCACCGTGTAAAACTGGAAAAAGAAGAAGCTCCGTCTATCCTCGACATGCTCAGCAGCAACAAGAAAGAGAACTGCCTGACAGAATTATTGAACCATTCCTTATAAAAATTCGTAAACTAGTTGTGACGGGGACGGCCACGTGGCCTTGATCCTGATACCATTCCGTTCATGAACGAACTTGAAAAAAGCCAGCATGTCGAACCACATGCTCAAGCCACTTTAGCTAAGCCTGTTTGATGATGGTGACGATGCGAGTAAATGGCCCAATGAAGTCTCCAACTTCCTGCAATATCGCCTCTTTCGTGCGGTGATGGTAATACCTCACGCCAAGCAGTTTTATACCTTGTCGCAAATGCCTACTTGGTCCGCGTCAGCGATATTGTCGCTTATCTTTCAGCTTTGTGTATATGTCGCCAAAGCTCACTTGGCAGCCCATTTCATCCCAATTTTGGTTAGTAAGTTAGTTTACTAGTACCTGAAAGTTCTAGCTACAGTTCGAGTGGATTTCGAGAGCGACGGGTGGGTGATTCTGATTGATACAGCGCCAAATCAAAAGAGATTATCTTGTTACGCTGTGCAGGCAAGAACAGCGCAAGCCACAAGAAAGTAATCGGCTACTCGGAATCAGCTCCATTTTGCTGAACGGCCGAGATCGCTCACCTCAGGGATCGCTCGTCAAGCTGAGATCTCAGCTCCCTTACCTTCAACTCAACGCTCGGAGTATCCAGCGCGTCGTGGAGATTTGCAAGTACTGTACGCGTCGTCGTCGTCGTCCAAAATAAAATCTTGCAAAGAACGGCGTCTGATTTGAACCACACAGGCTGTCGTACTGCCCACGCGAAGTCCTATAAAGAAGGCGACCGTCACGATCGACTTCTCTTTAGAAAATAGCCAGGGAGCGGAGAGGAAGAGAGATGAGCTTTGAAAAGCAAGAGAGTGGAACCCAAGCAAAAATATTTGTCACCAGCGTCGAGAGCAGCGACGAAGAGGACCGAAAATAGTAGGAACCCTTCCTTGGACTTACAGCTAGTTGTCATTCTATACCTTACCGTCCATCGTACCAAGTTTTATCACTTCAAGTGCACGCGTTCATGCCCAAAGTCTAAGTTCAAATTGTCGAAAGATAAGCGACAATATTGCTGACGCGGACCAAGTATAACTTATATAATTATATTGTTTTTATAACATATTTTAAAAACAAAGGCGAGTTTTATAATTATTATAGAAGATATACACAAGAGAGAGATTGGAAGCTTTGTAACAACTCTGAGTTCCACGTATTACTACGATCATATAGAAGATTTTTATTATACACAAGAGAGAGATTGGAAGCTTTATTACAACTCTGAGTTTCACGTATCAGGGGCGGATCCAGGAATTTTTCAGGGAGGTTCAAATTTTTTCGAGTGCACAGAATTAAATTCGCTTCAAACTGTTTTCGGTTCGTTCACTACACCGGGAGTTGCAAAATCTTTATTGTCACGGTAGCCCTTGCATTGCTTGGCCAATAAGACAAAGGTAATGCGTTTAGAGCCTTACAAAGTACAAAGCTGCAGCACAGGCAGAAACTAAGGCCGTGACTGCAGCATTTTCCAAACTGACGGAAGGCGAAGTTCTCTGACTGTCCTCCGGCTGGGACTCCGTGTCGTCACATTCGCGCCGTACACAGCGGAACGAAGCCAAGCTCAATGGCAACTGATCGGCCGCTCGCCTCTTTGGCAGACGTCGCGACATGGCAAACTACACGACAACCACAAACATAATCTTCGTACTGCGACGGAGGAAACCTACAGTCCAGCCAGCGCAAAATAAAACAAAACGACAAGGAAGGTAAGGAGGACAAGTGGCAGTTTCTCCACCTTTTGCTCCACCTCGACATGGCAAACTACACGACAAACACAAACATTATTCTCGTACTGTGACGGAGGAAACCTACAGTCCAGCCAGCGTGAAATAAAATAAAACGACAAGGAAGGTAAGGAGGACAAGTGGCAGTTTTTCCACCTTTTGCTCCATTTCTTGAACTAGTACTGTCGATCGTTTCAAGTCACATGATACGCGTACAGACACTTCGATTCGAACGGTACGCGTACAACAGTCCCGACCACTGCATGCATGCAGTGACCTAGTACCTGCACTGCCTGTACGTGACTACTGCATGCATGCAGGATGCATGCCAGTGAAGTCTACTGGCTACGCGGTACGCTACACTTCGCTGGCAGCGCACGTGAATACCACAAAAAAATCGACTGGACCCACGGTCGAAATTATTTTAGGGGGTTCGTCCCCCCCCCTTTATCCGCCCCTGCGTATTACTACAATCACAGGCAACTGATGGATCCAAAACGGGCAGCCAGAACATAAGGGGGAGCAACGTGCGAAATTCTGAGGGGTATCATAGGCGACGCATATCATAGCGCAAGAGTCAGGTGCAGGCGTGAAGTTGCCAAGTCTTCAGACTTGGGGCTATGGAGCAGTAGTTCCGGCGTGAATGATATAGAATAGAGCTGGGGACAAATGCCAAATCCACACATGCCCACACCATTACACAAACATACACCCACACTCTCTCCCTTTTCTCACATACACATACACTCACACGCGCGTCCACACACACATTCTCTAAATCTCTCACTCACACACACACACACATTCATTCTCTAAATCTCTTTCTCTCTCTCACACCCCCCCCCCCCCACACACACACACATTCTCCAAATCTCACACACACATTCTCAAAATCTTACATACACACACACATTCTCAAAATCCCACACAAACATTCTCTCTCTCTCTCTCTCTCACACACACACACACACACACACACACACACACACACACACACACACACACACACACACACACACACACACACACACATACACACACATACACACACATACATACACACACGGCCACAATACTCATCCTTTCATTCTCACACCTACCGGCTACCGCACACATACTTGCACCAGCACTTATCCAATCACCCACACGCACTCTCTT